TGGAAAGTACATAACAACCCATAAGTTTCAATTCCAGTACTCATCTTTCATCTTCTCTACTCAATTTCATTCAGTTAAGACTTGCACTTTTCTCTTGAGAAACCACAAGTTTTGCAATAGCAGCAAAAACAAAACTCATAAAAACTCATAAAAACTCATACTCTTTCTCAAGAAAGAAAAGAAGAAACCTACTTAAAACATTTTATATTGTTTGATGATGATTTAATTGCGCCGCGCTTAAAGCAAAAACAACTCGCAAACAAATGTGCATCGCAGATGAATAGCAGAAAAGGCAACAAGTTGGGCGTAAATCTTGTAGTTTGCACTTGCGCAGAGAACACCCACTTTTTAAGAACTTTCACAACACAAATAATTACACGGCGATCGTAAAATGCGTAAAAATAAACACAATTTTACAATTACCAACATTTTTCATTTATTTGAGTGCAGTATGCATATCGCAGGTGCGTGCGATATGTATGCATGTAAGTATATAATATGCACATATATAAACTTAACCGGGTTCTATTAGTCTGTTACATACATATGCAGAGCTGTTCTATACCCTTCTAACTCATTTACAAAAATAATACCATGCCCAAAAGCCAAGCCACAAGCAACTTGGTCCGTAGTGTAATCCTCATTGGAACTGACTCAAAGTCTTGGGTTTCGTGGTGTGGGTGCGGGGCTGCGGGGTCTGAGGTAGTTGCCTTCGAGGGGTGACTTAATACCATTTGCAACTCACATGCGTGTTAATTATTTTGGCTCTAAGCGGAAAAAGCCAAAATTAGCTGAATTAGGCGCATTAAATCTATTATCAGGCAAGTTTATCTCCACCTACTTGGGCTTTAGTTAAGTGTCAATTTGGGCTGATTTTGGGCTTTGGCTTGTTTTCTTAGCAAGGAAGCTGCTAAGTAGTATGACTAAGTAGTCGACCAAAATGGTAAGTGGTATCCAAAAATAAGTCTATGTTTACATATTTGGCACTAAGGTCTCCAGCTTTCATTTGAAAGTAAATAATTTCAGAAATATATATTGGTGAATATATATAATTAAATTATGCTACAACATAATGATAATGTATTTAAGTTGAGCATATGTATAGGAAATAAGAAGCAGCTTGCATTGAGATGGTTTCCTCATTTATGCAAAGCCCAAGTTGCAAGCTGTTATGCAATCACACTGAACCACTTTGAATGCAATGCTGAACCGGTTCGCCAAAGTGAGGACTATCTCAATATGCGTGACACACTGAGTTCATATATGGCAATTAAACAGTTGATCAGCCATTGGCCAATTGAGTGCACTTGGATATTGACTTGCCATTTAATTTTAGTGCTTGATGGCACTTAATCATGAACCGAACCAAATCCATTTGGCCCATGCGCCAAAAGCAAAACAAACTTAACAAAGTTAACTTCATTCAGACCAAAAGGCGTCATTTTAACTGCCACTTACACCGCAGCGCAGACCAACCACCAAACACACACCCAAGCATCTCACTCTCTCTCTCTCTCTATCTCTATCTCTGTCTCTCTCTATCTCTCTCTCTCTCTCGCTTTATTCTTTAAGCCTGTCTTGCGTGGAAAACCTTTTGCGAACCGTCGACATTTCAATGCCTTTTTAATCTAGAACAAAAACAAACTTAATTTGCCACAACATCTCCAATGGGCGCAAGAAAAGCAGTGACTTTGTCTGCAAACACCTCACCGTCCTCCACGCCCCACTCACAGGCCTCCTCGCCTCTGTAACTCAAGCGACAACGCCGAAGGAGAAGACGACGACGTCACTTGGCACATAATTTAATTACAACAACACTTTTGTGGGTGGGTACAACTTTGCCCGGGCAAATTGCTACTTTGATCCATCCGCGCGCCGCCCGCTTTGTGCCACACGCGGACGGCACTCGCTTCGAGTGTTGAATGAGCAACAACTTTCGAGTGCAACGCGTCCTGAATTGTAATTAGTGCCACCCAGGCCGCCAGCTGCCTGCCTGCCTGCCTGCTTGCCTGCTTGTCTTCCTCACTGGTTGCCTGCCTGCTTGCTGAGTTACTCCCAGTCAGGCTGCCATGGATAGTCTAGTCCGTGCATTGGCTGCTCCCGGTTCCGGCTGCTTTGTGTGATCCGTGTGTTCGCCCAACCTGGTCAGGGCGGAGGCATCCACTTGATTTGTGGAGTGCGCATTTGTAATTGTTATTACGTGTAAAATGCAAAAGGGGCCCAACTTCAACTCACCAACGCTACAACTGGCGCCTCCAGCTCAGTTATCCTTTTCCATGCTTAAATGCGTTATCGACGATAATTGCTTAACGTTTGGCGCGTGCTTTGATTAGACTCTAGCAGCAGTTAATTTGAACTCTAGATAGCATCTAAGCATTTAAGCCATCTGGCACATTTACAATTCGGGTTTTACACATGATCGATCCATAATGCAGGTGAAGCAGAGAAACTGAAAGAATTGCAAATGAACTCAAGATCTGGAAAAGGTAGTTCTGCTAAAGCTGCCAGATTTGTATTCAAGAGCAGGAACCAGCAAGAGGCAAGAGCTATCTTGGGCAAGACGTAGATTGGAGTTAATTAGATGACACTTAAATCTTAGTCCGTAGTTTGAAATTATATTATGTTTTGGTACGTTTTAAACAAAAATGTATTTATATGTTTTCTGTTTCACCAATTCGTTGTTCAATCACAATAGAAACCAATTGCAATTGAATACCCACAAAACAACTGTTTACTAATGTGCAAGGAAAACCATTTCATTCCTATTATTTTTATTAGAATATTAGGAAATACAATCGTTAGTATAAACCACTGCCTATGATCTTAGATCATATCATTTGTTCTTCAGAAAACAAGTGCAAATAAATATTCTAAGCCAAGTGTTAGTTTATCTTGATTGAGAAATAAGATGATCGCTAAATTGATTGAAAAATAGCTTCATATTTCTTCTCTAACTCAGCGTATTCGTTTGTTATTTGTTTTCAGATTTTCTGTCAAAGGAAATGCTTTTGTCACTTACTAAAGAGTTCTCTGTTAAAGGCACAGAATGATAGCAAATTTGTTTTGAAAGTGAACCAAGTTTCTGTAAATGAATGTTTGCACAGATTAATAGGTAATGGTGACTGCAAAGGTTTACTGTGCTGGCTTTGAAATAGTTTGCAGCTTCATGGAACAGGATTCTATTGAAAGCGGATACAGAACGAAAGACAGTGCTGCATATTAATGCAGCTGCCCCAAAATGGGGCGACACATAACTCCAGCTGGTCAAACGTAAACGAAATTAAACAAATGAAATTAAAACGAGGAGAAATGAAAAAAAGAAGCAAAAAGTAAATAAAATAAATTCAATTGAATTTAAAATGCGCAGCACAACTTCCATTAAAGACGTTGGCATAATTTTAATTTCAAGGTTTCTCGGGTTGGGGCCGAGCCCTTTTCCTGTGGCAGCAGCTGCCACAGGATATCCGAATGCTTTAAGCAACGGGATACACAGAGACAGAGACACAGAGAGACAGAGAAAGAGAGAGAGAGAGAGAGAGAGAGAGGAGAAGGAAGCGGCGAGCGGGGCTCAAGGAGCTGTATGCCAATCAAATTGAAATTTAATTTGCACAACAATGTGGCAAAAGGGGCCGCGCCCTCAACTTGAACCCAACTGACCCCTTTAAACAAGAGAATTATTAACCTCATCATATTGTGTACACCTACTACCTAGTCCGGCCCTTTATCGGCAACGTTCCGTTCCGTCTTTGTTTTGCAGTGCGTCCATAAAATTGTGATTTACTCCCGTTGAGATTTCAATTACTGCCGCTTTATTGCCAATAAATTTTCATATAAATTAGGCGAGCGAAAAGTTCGAATTGCCCAAGCAACACCAACAACAACAGCAGCAGCAGCAGCACAAGCCTGGCCCTAAAAAAAATATTATATTTAAAAAAGAAAGGCTTAATCAGCCGTGCACGTAGTCAAAGCCCACAAGAGCTGAAAAGGAATCCTTGAAAAGGTGCGGCTACACAAAAGATTTTCAGCACGTCCATGCCGTGAAATCAATTGGCGCCTCTTTAAATTAGGCCAGTCGCCCGACGGCTAACCCATCGTTGACATCGTCTTCAGGCCAACGATATCCTCGATTCAATATTGCAACAGGCTATGTTCGACTCTAGTTCCAATCCATCACGAACACTAAAATGAAAATCGCTTTGAAAATTCAAAAATGTTTCATGTTTTTAGAAATTATTTCTAAAAATACGAAAAAAAAATTGTTTTCTAATATTTAAAAGAATTTACTTATATTTTCAAAATTTTATAATTATAAAAAATATTTCTAAAATTTGAAAATGCAATTCGCTTATTTTAAAAAGAATCCTCTCTCAAATTCACTCTTGATTGCTAATACTAAAGTTTGATAATAAGCCAATGTAAGAGTTCTTGAACATGTTGCTCTGAAATTGAGAAAAGGAAAATCATGGCTTATAAGTTGTTAAGTTGTGCTAACTCTCCCAATGGCTGTAGATTCTGTTTTAGATGTGTTTAGAGTGTATTAAAAAGTATTTCGTAGTCGAGCACTCACAATTTTCACCAATTTTAATATTATTTTACTTCTGCCTAGCTCATACGCCGCTGTCAATCAAATTAAACAAGGCGGGAAGTTGAGAGCAACAAATCCCTGACTTGACTTGCAGCAAAAAACTTAAAAAGTCAAAGGATTGTTGTTGCAACCGTACAAAGCGTTGCAAGCGAATGTGGCATTATGGCTAATTAAACGCTGGCAATCCATTTACCAAATTAAACATAACAATTTCGATATTATTATTATTCAATAACTTAATTAAAGCCAGCAATTAACTTCCTATAAAAGCTTCAACTAAATATGGATCCTGCAAAGGAATAGTTTTGCAGGCAAACAACAAACAGACACTTTTCCTCCCCAATATAAATTTTTAATAATGTATTATGGAACATGGGAGATGTATCGGTTATGTTAGTAATATAACTTATGTAGATTTGTCTTTCTACACTTATTTTATTTTGAATCGGATTACATTGTCTGCGGCTCTCTTATTGATAGATCCATTAAACCGATTAGTTAACAGACTGTAAATTCGATTGCTGTTGTGCTGTTTATTCGTTTGGCGATTCCCGGAATGCAGGCCTTAGATTAGAATACGTTTATTTAATGAGGATCACAAGTTATGTTCGCTTAAAGATAGTGCGAGTCTTCATAGTTGTCACGAAACTCGAGGATTCTGTCGAGTGCCGAGTCGTACTCATCTCGCTCGAGAGCCACCTGCGAGAAATTACGCAATTTGGCCAGCTGAACGCGATGCGTTTGATCATGCAATGAATCGAGATGAGTGCCCAGCTTGCTGGAGTTTTGCACTGCAGCCAGAGCTGGTGCACTGGCCACACGAGTATCCCGCTCACGCTGTCCATCGCCAGGCAGCTTGAAGCCATCAGCGGCGATGCTGGCATCAAAGATCTCATACGGAAAGGGCAGATGCGTTTTGAGTGGCAGCGGCGTCGAGGCGGCATGCGTCAGACTGCTATGATAAGCGCACTGATAGTACAGCTGCAGCATCTGAGAGACGCTGTTGCAGCGATAGGCAGCCTTAGAGATTTGCGAACCGGCCTGCTCCAAGGGGCGCTTGAGTCGTGCATCGGGTATACCACGCGCCACCACCGACTGGACGACATGCGTTGTGCCCGGATCACAGCCGGGTGTCAATTGTGTCATCAGTGAGCCATCTGGCCCATCCAGAAAGTCAATGAGATCCTGTTCCCGCTGCATGCCCAGCGGCAGAGCCAATGCAGCAGCGCCCAACTTGCGATTAGCTGGTGTGACACGCTCACAAAAGCTCAACAGAGTATTGGGCGTCTGGCGCAAACGATAGCCAAGCGTCACTGTATCCAAATACGCAGCCAGCACTGCCGAGCTCTGATACAGATTATCCGCCAGCCAATTGACGCCCGGCATTCGACGTGACTCCAACGTCTGGTTACGCCAGATCGTCTCTAGCGTGGACAGCGGCGTGAATAGGTTCGCCTGCTCGCTCAGATGCTTATAGCTGAGCACGCTGTTCACGACACGAATGCTGCGCGAGGTGCGTGTATCTGCCAAATTGGAACAAATAAATAAATTGTGTCAAAGTTACCTAACTTTAAATATTATTAAAATCACCTGCTTTGGCATAGGACATGTTGCGCGGATAGTGCAGAGGCAGAGCGAAAATGGCCCGATTATATTCATCATTCAGATGCTCCATGCACTTGCTAGCCAGTCCACCGAATCCATCGTCGATGTCAAAGAGCAGCTGAAAGCCCTGCAGTCCATTGCATTCCTCCGCATAGAGGCGAATGCGATCACAAAAATCCTCATTGAAAGCGGCAGATTGCCACAGCTCCACGCCGGAACAATGTGAGCCCAACACCTGGACATCTGGCTGTTGCAGCATGCCCTGCAGCACGTTAAATGTGCGCGGATGGTAGCGTGCATATAGAAAGTCTGCCCAACTGCTGCACGTCTCAGCCAAATTATAGTCCTTGTCCTGCGTATTTACTGTATTTTTGAGCAAATCCTGCTGATATTCGGATATCGTTGCGGCTGGCTGTTGTCGCACATCCAGTTCACCGTGAGTGGAGAGCTTGTTCTGCTCGGCCAATTCTTTGGCCTTCTGCAGCTCATCAGCCGTCTGATCTGTCGCCAGCGGCAAATAGTTTCCATACAGCTCACCCACAACGGGCAGGTGCATCAATGTGCCAACGAGATCCACAGACAATAACCGTGGCGTGAATGTCGCCTGTTTGCGATCATTAACACCTTCTCTGTATAGTATGTCATTGTGGGGCAGATGCTCCTCGGCCACATTGCTGCTCTCGCCATCGTAAACGAAATTTGCCTCCTAATTGGAAAATGTTAAATTGACCGGCTTTGCATGGCTGCGGTTGATGTTGTTGTTAGCTTACCTGCTGATTCCAGAAGTGTGCACCCACATAGTTTGCATATGTGCCAAACTGGAAAGTTAGAATCTCGCGGGTGTGGTCCATGTTTGCTCCTGACTGTGATTAATTCAATTAAAACACAAATTGCAATACAAACTGACTGCAGTTCTCAGGCAAAATTGCTATCGATATGTCGATATATCGAAATCTACGTGCACATGTGAATGCCATTATAGCTGATTTTTGTTTATGTTTTGAAAACACGTGCAAAAATTGCTCATACTTAAAAACAAATATATACAAAAAACTGTTAAGGCACAATTCACATTTTTATTTATCAATCAAAAGGATTTGTTCGGCAAAATCTGATTAGCCTGTAGATTCGATCATCAGTTAAAAAAAAATCAATTATAAATAAGGCTATTTCCTAAATGCTATATTTGGAGAAACTATCTTTCGTTGAGCTTCGTGGACAAGTAACAATTCCAAAATACGGCAACAATTTGAGCAAAAATCACTTGATACTGGATTGGCATAAGCGAAAAGTTGATTGTTTGCGCCATCGGCCAAAGCATATAATTCCTTTGCATAATCGACAAATAATTCTCCTTGATGCGATCCACAATCCTGCCGTGCTGCTCGCCATTGATACAAGGCACCACGTACGACAGCACCAATGTAAATGGTGGGGCAAAACAGGACTGGTCGATAATCATCTTTTTAAGGCCGCGCCGCGTAGCAGACTGTTGCTTCGATACAAATGTGTCCAGTGTTCCATACCATTTTCGCAGCGCTGGTCCAACGAACACCAGGCCGAGTGTAGTAAAACGCGCCGTGCGTGCGATGTCCCAATCTTGAAACGGTTTTTTCTCAATCACCAACTGGGCTATCGCATCGCCAGCGCCCATTATGAGAGCCGCATTGAGGCCCTCACGCAGGTAGCCACGTAGTGCCATAGTTATGTATGTATTGCGTAGCTATGTGCACAAGACTTAAATTGGTAGTTTTTCGAACTTGTTCATAAAGAACTTGTAGTTTGAATTTAAATTCGGTGTAAATTTAACACAATTCCGCTGGTTTAGCTAACAAAGTAGTGTTAAGAAACACCCCAAAATCTTCACGTTGTCTTCTTCCTCTTTGACTTCAGGCATACACATTTCAAATTTATGGCGCGCTTATCGTAAAGTGTGCGTTAGTGTTGAGTAATGTTGGACGAAACATCGATACATTAATATTTTAAAGTGTTCTAAGCATCGATATATGTATTCCGATGTTAGATATTTTTTACTACTCTCTTGCCAAGCAATTAAAAACTTATTTTTATGATATTGGTTGGGATATTGGTGTTGGCAGTGACTGTAAATGGAGAAATTCTTAGAATATTCGTAGATATAATATGATACATCAATGGCATTCTCCAAAAACATCGATGTAGCCAAACATCGATATTTCAGGTAGGTTTTTACATGCTGTCAATGTTGCCATATATTTAATTTATTTTTCGCCGAATGGGGAATTGCTAATTTTAAATACACCAAATAGCTATTTGCCTTAACCGGATCAACCTATAGTCGATATGTAGAACGAATAATTACATCGATAAGATTTTGTTATATCGATAAGCAATGTTTGTGTTGGTTGATTTCTCATCACTACCAATCGGCCTTTCTACGCATTTCGCGAGTGGCTGCTGCACGTTTTTTTAGTTTTCTGTTTTCTATGGCTCATCATGAGACACAGGAGAAGTTGCAGTTCCACGAACTGGAGTTGGACCAGCGCATACTCAAGGTAAGCAGAATAGAACATTTGCAATTTCGCCCACTGTCTCCTAATGCAATTCCCCCTAACGAAATCACAGGCAATTGCGCAGCTCGGCTGGGTGCAGCCTACTTTGATTCAGTCAACGGCCATTCCACTGCTGCTCGATGGCAACGATGTGGTGGTGCGGGCGCGCACCGGTTCCGGCAAGACGGCTGCCTACGCACTTCCGCTAATACAGAAGATTCTTAACTCCAAGCTGAATGCAAGCGAGCAGTGTGTGAGCGCCTTGGTGCTGGCGCCCACAAAGGAGCTGTGCCGGCAGTCGCGTCTGGTCGTCGAGCAGCTGGCCGAGTCGTGTGGCAAGGTTATCCGTGTGGCGGACATTGCCGGCAGCTCCAACGATATGGCAACACAGCGTCATGCTCTCGCCGAGCGACCGGATATTGTGGTGGCGACACCCTCAAAAATACTAGCACATGTGGAAGCCGGCACGGGAATCGTTGATCTGCAACAGATTGAAACGTTGGTAGTGGACGAGGCCGATATGATATTCGCCTTTGGCTATGAGAAGGATTTCAAGCGGCTAATGAAGCATTTGCCTCCCATTTACCAAGCAATTCTCGTCTCGGCGACCATCACAGACGATGTGGTGCGGATGAAGGGCTTGTGCCTGAAAAATGCCATAACACTGAAGCTGGAAGAGCCAGAATTGGTCTCCCTCGAACAGCTCACACATCAGCGCATCCTGGCCGAGGAGAACGACAAGCCGGCAATATTATGCGCTTTGCTCAAGCTCACGCTCATCCAGGGCAAGAGCATTATCTTTGTCAACACTGTGGATCGCTGCTATAAGTTAGTTAATTTCATTTTTATATACTGACTTAATCCATTCCTGTGAGCTGTGTTGTGTTCACCAACTGATGAAAGACACAAACTTCATTTGGGATTGCGCAATTGGCAACAATTGGCGCACGCATGACCATAGACTAATCTTCTCGCTGATGGCGGCAAACACAGCAGCTATATTTACATATTCCCACATTTTTATATATATTTAGATTGCTATATATTCAGTTAATTTGTTTTTTTCACTCTTTAGGGTTCGTCTGTTTCTGGAACAGTTTGGCATACGCTCGTGCGTGCTCAACTCAGAGCTGCCGGCTAACATGCGCATTCACACCATCAGCCAGTTTAATCGTGGCACCTACGACATCATCATTGCCTCCGATGAGCATATACTGGAGAAGCCAGCGGGCAAAACACAACGCAAATCCCAGCACAGTGATCACGAGTCGAGCACATCGCGTGGCATCGATTTTCAGGGTGTGAATAATGTTATTAATTTTGATTTTCCACGAGATGTCACGTCATATATCCATCGGGCTGGACGCACAGCTCGTGGCAATAACAAGGGCTCTGTCTTGTCGTTTGTCAGCGTTAAGGAGTTGCCCATCAATCTGGCTGTTGAGGAGAAACTGCGCAGCACCTTCGGCCGGGAAACGTTACACAAAAAGGATAACGCGGTAACGTTGCCGTCGTCGTCCAGTTCGGATGATAACAAGAAAGCGGATAATAGCAAAACAGTTGAGCAGCTAAAACGCTCCTTTGCCAACAGCCTGGAACGTCCGCAAGAGGATATCGTCGATGATATCATCAAGTGAGTCAGACTTATACACTTAATTCAAGCCAAGACAATGCATATAACTAATCTCTGATTGCCATCCACGTTTCAGAATATACCAATTCAAAATGGAGGAGGTGGAGGCGTTTCGATATCGCGCCCAGGATTGCTGGCGTGCCGCTACCCGTGTCGCTGTGCACGATACGCGGATACGTGAGATCAAGACAGAGATTCTCAACTGTGAGAAGCTCAAGGGCTTCTTCGAGGAGAACAAACGCGATCTGCAGGCGTTGCGCCACGACAAACCATCGCGCACCATCAAGGTGCATTCACATCTCGCCCATGTTCCGGAATACATATTGCCAAAGGCACTCAAGCGCGTTGCCATCGGACCCCCACCCACGCATACAGCCTACAAACAGGCGCGAACGACTGGTGCCAAGGCCGCCTTTCAGCGCCAGAGCAATGATCCCCTGATGGTCAGCGAAGTGGACTATGGCAAGCGACGTGGCAGGCCAAAGAGCAAACGGGCCAAATGAGTTGTTCATATGTTTATTTATAGCGAATAGTTACTATCAGTTATGAAATTGGCTGGATGAAGAATATGGGACATCCAGCATCTTTCATTGTTTTAAATAATGTTTTTGTATATTATGCATTGCGCATTCATACAGACAGCTAAATCAGGATCAAGCAAATATAAACCTTTTTACTTATACCTATATGTTTTGATGGCCTCAGGGTATTATACCGAATAATGAATAATGTAAAAAGTATACAGATACCGAAGCCTACATAGCACTGAAACTATATGCTCATAATTCAACATAAATATATTTGAAGAAACCATTACGCTGAGTTTGATCCTTAAGCAAATCTTTAATCAAAAAGAAATTTGTTGATCCTAGAAGCCTGTCTCTGAAATACGGGGTTCAAGGTGTATCAATATGCTGTCTCTTTCTGATTCATGTATAATCATTTGTATGCATGTGTCACTCCGAGATAAAAATATAGCTGAAACTCGGCCAAATTCTTACCGATTTTTCAAGGACATTGTGAATTCAATGTCATAAAATATAGAAGAATCTTTGAGCTACAAAAGTATCTTTAAGATACATGAATGATGTGAAAGCTTCAAAAACATAATGCAAAAAGTATCTGAAGAAAGCAATAAGTATCTGTAAATTAAGATACGAAAAGGATTTGGAAGACATATATAAATGATAAAAATGGTATGTGTAAAACACTAATGCATGAAAAGATTTTTTAAGATACAAATAAATCAGTGAGTATTTGTAAGATACGAATGTGTGTATGAACCCAAACACAACTTTACTTGCTGATTTTAGCTGCATCCGCATCCCATTTGAAATCAATAGGTTAATGAAAGACTTTCAGATTTGATACATACGATTTTATTTTCCAACGATTCAGTTTCGCGATTATTTATTTCATTCTGTTTAATTTTCATTCAGCTTTTCTTTTTTAATTTTTCATTTATGTTTTATAAAAAGCTACACCTTGAAATTCTTATGTCAATGGTTTTATGTGTTTACTTGTTTTTTTTTTTTTTTTGTTGAATTTCGCATTTCATCGCCATATTTTATATGCTGCGTTCCCAAAAGCAGTCCAAAAATTTTGATCATATACTACATAATTACAATTCAATTATTGAGTAGCCCTTTAGTTATTGATAGCTTTTGTTAGTAATTCCTTATGTAAACACACAAAAAAAAGTTGTCTACTTGTTTTTTTTTTTCTTCATTTCTTTTCTTTGCATTCAGTATTTCATGGGGTATTTCTTCTTTTTTATTTTATTAATTTTTGTTTATATAATATTTGTGTATATTATATATCTTATCATTCATATATTAGGTAAAAAAGCTCTGACAAGGCGCTTGACTTAACTGGCAACAGAAGCTACAAAAGCTTTTTTTGGCAAACATCTACAAAACAGGACGAACCGAAATATAAAAGAAACAAAAATCGCTTTTCATCTTTAATATATATATATTTATATAGTTTTCATATAAATGGTTTGTTTTATTTTCGCTTTCAATTTCATTTTATATTCGTGTAGAAAAAAAATACTTAGACATTAAATTTCAATGCATGTACATATACATATATTCATTATTTAAATAATTATTCTTTTGATTTCTTACTTACAAGTTGTTATATTCTTTTTTTTACATACACGTACAGATAAGATCTAATAAAATAAAGAAGGTAAAATATTTTAAGGCTAACATAATTCAAATTGAGTACATCATTTCATATTTGCATGTGATGGTTTTTTGTTATTGTGTTTGTTTCTTTACAGAATGTCGTGAAAACATGAAACAAAATAAAAAGTGAAATCTCATGAAACTAGAAAGATAATACAAATTGTTTGGCATTTTCGTAGTTGATTTTAGAATATAAAAATGTTCCATTTAACACACAGATACATTGTAAAATAATTATGTTTTGAGTTCATTTATTTAGTACATATTCAGTTAAGTTTTCAGAATATTCATTGAATTTGAATTTGCAATTGCAATTTTCTTTGCTTGGTCTTGGTATTCTCCAAAACACTTTCAAATTTCCTCAATTGCTAGCGTTCAACTGAGCAGAGTAGTCCCAAAAACAAGGAGTACTGGTGAGCAGTTGCATCTATACTCTGTTAATTTGCATATTCATATTTTTCCATTTACATTGAGCATTTTGTTTATAACTAACATACATCAATAAGTTATATGTAACTCTATATAATTCGTACAGTTTATTAAGTAGACCAATTTACCAAGGAAACAAAATTTTGTATGTGAATGAAATCTTAACTAAAAACTTGCTGTATTCAGTAATTTGTCATGATTGTGTGTGTGTGTGTGTGTGGTGTTTTTTTAAGAAACAAATGCACAAAAGTCTTTTGATCAGTGGTTTAAGTACTACGAAATGAGTGGTGTGTGTTGGACGTTGGGAGTGTAGTAGAAAAGAATTGTTTTCAATGCTGGAACTTAATGTTAAAACTTATTTATGGCATGTTTAAGTTAGTTAAACTAATATTTTGTTTATAATTCTCTTGGTTTCTCTGCCTTGCTAATATATAATTTAAAAATCTTTTCTCTTTCACTTTAAATGCTAAATAAATGTAATATTTAATTTAATTTTTTTTGTTTTGTTTTGTTTTGTTTTGTTTTGTTGTTCATGTTTGTAAGGCATTAATTTAAGTTTTTGTTTTGATCTTAAGCTACAATCCACTCAGTTCTATATAGTCGATATAGTCCGAAAAATCTAAGAATCGAAAACAAAAGAAGACGAAGCTATGTAGCGAATACAAAGTTAAGCGACATGGACATATGAGTAGTGTATGTAAGGTGTTTTTTGTGTTTTTTGTTGTACCGAGCTTAAAATACTATTTATGTATGTATTTAGATATCGGATATAGTATGTATATTAAGACATTAAGTTAAGATTGTATATAGAACTTTAAAAAAAAAAACTTAAGAATAGAAACTGAACACCCAACTCATATGCCAATCAAAAACAGAATTCTAAATGCTGTTCCAACAGCTTTGGCTTTGGTTATCGTTCTCATTCCTCCTCCTGCTTTTGGAGTAAATCGCAACTTGTTCGCATCGTAAGTACTACCTTCATTCATTCGGTTTGTTTGTATGCAGGTATTTAGTTTATTTTTTTATTTTATTTATTTATTTTATTTATTATTATGAATTTTTTGGGGGGTTGGTGTGTTGCTCCTTTTCTAGTTGTAAGCGATGTTTTTTCATTCGGTTTCAATACTATTCTCTGTTGCAAGTTTTGTGCACATCTCTATTATTTTTGAATTCAATTTCGAGTTGCTTATACCGCTGAGTTTTTGCCAATGATCTCACCGCTGCGCGAATGCACAAATCGCCCGTCAAACTCAATGGTTGAGTTCTGCTTAATGCTCCCAGTGGGCGTACGCAGTGGCTCCTTTTCGTCCCTGTGTGGAATAGTAAAATCATCAATTATTAAAGAGAGCTGACCGAAGAGAGAGAGAGAGTGAGAGATTGTAAGAGAGAGAGATTGCGAGCAAGAGCTATAGAAAGTAGCCAGCTAAGAAGAATAAGCATATCATACGCAAGCTTATTATTATACTTACTTAATGCGCCACACAACATCTAAGTGCTACAAATAAGGCTATAGAAAACGATGCTAAATCTACGTTCTGCATGCAGCAGTGGTGCATTATGATCATACAAATTGTACATGAAATGAATAATGCGGGAAACTGGAAAGTTAGGTCAAAGACCAGTGCTACGCAAGAAAGAGTAGTATGGCAAAGAGCGCAGTGAAGCAGTACAAAATGAAAAAAAAAAATAAAAACAAAAACAAAAAGAAAGAAGAAGGAATACGAATTATGTACGTACAATGGTGATGTCACTGGTGAGCCGCCGAGCTTAACTGGCGGCGGCAGTGGTAACGGTGATGGTGGTGGCTCCTTAACCAGCTGTCCACTGCAATAAGGTAGCGGGAAACGCCAACCATAAAGACTGCTTGGTTAGATGATGATAATTTCGGTTGTTTTCGAATTTGTTTATCGAATTCAATTTGATTTTGTATTTTGTATTTTTTTTTTGTTTTTATTTTTTTTTTGGATTTTGTTGGATTGTTGGTTTGGTTTTATTGTGTTGGAGATGAGTTGGATTTTGAACAGTACGTATGAGTTTGATGTTGAGAAAATCAAGAGAGAGAGAGTATAGAAAGTATGAAGAGAGACTGTGATTCTTTTATCTACTTTGTTGTTTTTAATATAAATGTGTGTTCTTCTGTGATGATTACAAATTTAATACAAATAATACTATACGATAACATACAAAGATTAAGTATTTGAAGAAAGAAACATTTAGTCTAGCAGCTGTCGCCACTATGGCAAGTCTAACTATATACTATACAGAGTAGTATTGAGCAGGAAAAAAGGCACTTTATGGGTTTATTTTATATTTTGAAATAAGCTAAATATAGCTGACTGTATGCTTTAAGAGCAATTAATGACGTATAAGCGGATTCCACATCTTGTCATTTCAAATGTGGGATTTGTTCAATATGATAGTATGAAATAAAAGTGAATCAATTTCGTTCAGTAACATTTTTGAGTGAAGCAACTGTTATGCCATTCATATAACATTAGATTCCATTACAATTATAGTTTTTACACTAATTGTGTGTATGATGATCGAGGAGAAGTTGACAAAAATTATATTCATGGAATATTGGTATCTAATAAATGCCTTCTCCAAAATCTATCTTTGAATCATAATCAGTGGAAAAAAAAACTCACAACAACAAATGAAGTGTTCTAACGAATTAAAGAAAATAGTATTTGAGATATTAACACAACTCTTGAGTTAAATATAATAAAGCGTTCGTGTTCTTTTGTTGTATATTGGGATAACAGAAAACATTGTGGAATTTCGTCTTTTTTATGTGGTGTAGATGGCAAAATTGTAAACATTTAATATTGCACTAGAAATGAGAAATAAGAACCGATATCGTTGTAAAGTAAAATGTTTTTTTTTTCGGGACTGGGTGAAAGAGAATTTTGTAAGGAGTTCTTTTCTGCGTTGTAGTTTGCTCAAACGATTATCAGTGAATTTCGATTGAACAACAACGATTTCGGACGCGCATAGACCCAATTGTATTCGAAATCCGGGCGTTGAGAATTTTGGCTTAAGGAGCGGTGCAAATCGAAAAGAGGTAGAAAAAAACAAACGAAACAAACGAACAAACATTTAATGGCATTTTTCTAGTTGGTTGGATTTTTAAATATTTTGTTTGTTTATAATTTTTTGTTGGAATTTCGTATCATTTTTAGTGCAATATTATTTGGTTTCGATAGCCCTGCCCAAAAAACCCCCAGAGAGAGAGAGAGATATATAAAAAGAGAGAGGGAGAGAGTCAGAGTTAAATATTTTGATGCTTACCTGCCCAGTTTCGCTTCATCATCGATCTCGGAGGGAGAACGCTTGGCCTTACGGCACATGGCTGCCATGACGCCCATGTGAACAGTCACACAGCACAGCAGATCCACAATGAAGAGTAGAAGGAGTACCCCTCCAACGGCAATGCCAACAATCGCAGCCGAAGAAAGCACCGGACGTTCCGCGACTTGGATCACATCAATGCCTGTTGTGGAAGAGTTTTGGTTTTTTTTTTTTGTTTTTTGATTTAGGAAATGTTTGTGTGGGGGGAGAGGGAGGGTGTAGAAAAAGTGCTTGATTAGTAAAATGTCATTCAAATCTGTCTTTCATAAATCTAATAAATATTGGTATATATTTTAGATTTTATACTAATACTTAGTTAATCTATCGAACACTCAAGCATTTGACTGTATTCCCAAAGGAATAAAGCCATGAGCCAAAAAACTAACTTTTAACTCGAGTTATAAAATGTGTTTCTTCGATTTTGTTTGTTTTTTTTTTTTTTGTCAGCATTAACACTTTTATTTTTTAAACGGTATATATATTATTTGAAATTGGTTGTGTTTTTCATTGAGTTCAAATTTTGTACAAACATATTTTACATTTTTGTGTGTGTAGTTCAAAGTGAAAGTTAAATGTAAATTAAGCATGTTCCGTAAATGAGCACAAATATGAAATATTAAAATGTATATAATTTATACCTAATTAAATATAAATAAAGTAAGTAACACCAATTTGTCATAACATAAGAAAAAAGTAATTTCGGTGTACACAACAAAAACAAATAACATGCAGCCTTCAATGAAGCGGGGCATATGTCGATTGAGAGAGAAAGCCGAGAAAAAGAAAAGGGAGGCAGAGCGAGAGCGAGAGCAAGAGTGAGTGAGAAAGCGCGCACAGTAAGGCAGGATAACTCAAGAGAAAATGCAAAGACAAATGACAAGTAGATAAAAAGCCAATAAGCAAAATATACAAGCAAAATCTTTTCTTTTTTTTTATCAACTTAGAATCCAATTATTATTATTTTTTTGTACAAGGAATGCGTATCTTTATGTGTGTAGAATTAGTTTCAGTGTGTCCAATAACGATAGCGCTTAAAAATTGTAAATTTATCAAATACACAAATCTGTGATTGCAAAAAACCATTAACAAAATTGATTTTTTTTAGTTATAAACATTGTTAAAAATATCTAAATATTATTAGAAACATTCTGTTCTGAGTACTGCATGTTTTGTGGTTATTAATCGAATAGATGAATACTACAACTAAACTGGATAAATTTGACAAAAAACATTATTATTGGATTAGTAACATTTGTATGTTGTTTTTTTCTTTTTCTTGTTTGATTATGGGAACTAATTCCCGTTATGCGTTTGTTTATAGTTTACCTAGTGTTAGTGGTATTAAAATCGAATGCGATTTGAATTAATTATATATTCGGTTAATTGTGGGTGTGTATTGCTGAATGTATATGAAACTATATTATTATTGCAGAACCATATTACCTGTCGGTATTTCACACCTGGCAGCTGTGCAGCGGTTTTTTTTTCTTAAACTTTATCGCTTATCGGTTTACTCGATTAATTTTGAAATTTCTTCAAGCGCTAGACAACACGGTGGACTTCCAATTTACATATACACACACAGAAAGAAGACTATCTCTTTTTTGTTGAAGATTTTTCTTTATTACCCAAAATGAACTTAATTCTTAGATATTGTATTTTGTTTTCATTTATTTATTTATTTGTTGTTTTTTTTTTGTTTGTGTTTACTTACAACATTTATGAATCTTATGCGCTTTTTGGTTTGTTTACTACTGGGTATGTGTGTGTTTTTTGTCTGTGTGTATGAGCAAATGAGAATCGTCGCATTTGCTTTATTTACTATATTGATCACGTATTCTTATGCAATTCTTTCTGCTTTACAAACTGCCTGGTAAATGCAAACTAATTTCAAGTTTGATAACATGTTAAAGTGCTCTTTGGCTTTTGACAGCGGCACTACAAATCTTGCTTAACCTTTAGTTGTAGCTGTTGGTAATCATATGCATGAAAGTTATGGCAAAAGACTTATATACAGTTCGGAGCTTTACGTAGATGTTACTAAGTAGCTTAAACTGCTTTATTAATTTACGCCTCTGTCGGCGATTCTTTAGATTTCTGTTTTTGTTCTTTTATGGACAGTTCTTGTCTTCGATTTCTTTCGTTTTTTTTTTTAAATTTATTATATTTGGATATAACTATATTTATGCCTCACAAAGCTAGATAAAAAAAAAAAAACAATACCATACGATACGATCTGCTCAGCAACGTTAGGCGGGCTGAATTTGTCACTAACTATAGTAAGTATTTATAACTTTTGTATATTGTATATTGTAAAGGTATAAATTGGAATTACTTTTTATGATATAGTATATATATTTTGCTAGAAAAAGTTTCAGTTTCTTTTACTAAAAATTGTATACAAGGAATATTTTTTCTAAATTGAACTCCATTCATTTATTTATTTTAGTTTTATTTGTTTTCTTTTCATTCTATATATATTTTAGGTATACAAATATGTATGTTCAATGAGTACAAACATACAAAAATTCGATACTTTAAGCTTAATACACCATGTGAAAAAAATTCGTAGTTGGAAACATGTGTTTTTTTTTAGTGGTGTAAAGGGTTTTGTAGGCTTCCTAAAAATGGATTCAAACTAGAAATTCACTATGTTTATAATTTGTTTAACATACTCGTACTTTTAGTTACTTATTGTCCCTTAACGTATACGTTTAATAGAAACATAAAACAAACGGCTTTAAGGTCACATACTATACATGAGACACCAAAAATATGTAACGGACAACTTGGGATCGCAGTGCATATATATAACGGTGGTGTTCGTGTTCTTTAATTTTCAAACAGCTAAAAGAAAGGGGATTCAATGTTTACTACTCGTAAAAAAGGGTTTATAAAAAGTGTGGCCCATGGAAAAATGTAAAAGCATTTTCAGCATTTGTTTTTATTCCCCTATTTAATCAGTTCCACAGAAATCTATAGTTCCTGGAAAATATGTAGGATATTCTATTATTATAATACATTTTTGCTTTAGAAAACCATATAATCACTTTAAGAAATTGAATTGATTTATAACAGATGGGTCGATTTCTTCAGATATCCTAGCTCAATATATCAGCTATAATATATGTATGTATAATAAGAAGCTGTAAATAAAAATCGTTTTTGGCAGTGTTCTTGTCCAACAAAATACTGGAGCAGCTTCAAAAGGTTCCTTTTACGTTGGTTAAGGCAAATGGAAGAGAACTGACTTTTGGATACATGTATGTGACAACATCAACTGAAATTGTATGTTAGTATATGTCTACTAAGTACTGGGTGCTTCTTGTTAGTATAATCCCATAATAGCCCTACATAATACTAAATAACTTAATGCCTCTTAATTTCCTTAATTTGTGAGCGATTCGATAAACATGTACACACATATATATTTTTTGTATGCTAAGTGTTGGTATTTGATTTTGTTTTTCTGTATTTGTTTTTCTTCGGCATATAGCAGTATGTATTTTGTACATTGAATGGAATCATATAGTAATTTGTATATGTATAGCGCACATATATTGTTAACACCCTAGCGAGAAGTTATTATCATATATTTTTTTATTTTACTTCCTCATTTCAAGCTTATCATGCTTCATATGTGTATGTATGTGGTAGGTATTTATGTATAATTCATTTTTGGTATTTTTCGCATTTTTCACTTATTGTTATTTACAATTATCGCAACACAAAAAAGAAAGTGAATAATAGAACAAAACATTTGCAGCTTCAAGCATCCGTTTCCGGTAGTTCCTGGCACTGCCTCATGCACTGCTTGATAAGTATACCCGCTTAGGCAGTGCGCGTCGTGAGCCAGAGCAGCAGTAGTAACGGTGCAGTGGTAGCAAGCAGTGGATTCGTGGCGCTGCTTGTTGAATACGGATAGGGGTTGTCTGTTTTTTGTTATTTCAGTTTTTTTTTTTTTGCGGGGGTAACCGGGTTTGGATACGCAGGTACAACGGGTATTTTTTTTTTTGGTGCGCCAGGAGTTTACAGAATATTTTGTTGTTGTTTGTTTGTTGGGTTTATTTTTGGTTTTAAGTGGTAGTTGATTTTTTATATCATAGCATTCGATTTGGGGATTAGTTTTTTTTTTTGTTTTTTTTTTTTTTTTTTGGATTTTTCACACAGCGTAAAAGAGAGAAAAAACAATGAAAAGTAGTAGAAGAAAAACAGGAAGAAAAGGAAACACACAAAAAAATATTTTTTGTTGGTTTTCTTTCTTGCTTGATATGGTTTTTGCGATTTAAAATATATTGAGAGAGACGACGACGAAGATTCATAACATAATGTGAGAGATGTGTGTCTATTATATATAATATATATAATTATATATTTATGTGTGTGTGTGTGTGTGTGTGTTTGGGTGTAAGTATTATTGGATTTGAGGTTGGTTAGTTAGTTAAAGTCATTTTTGACCGTGTACAGTTTTCACTGTTGACATTTACAGCGACTCTCAAAGTGTTACAGTTTTAGACGTATTAACTATTTATCTATTAGTAGATTATGCTATGTAGTTATTATATATGTATATGTATATATAGATGCAGACACTAAATTGCTTGATTAGAAATAGTTAGTATATGTTAAATAATTTAAACTAGGGCTAAATTAATATAAATACGGAGAGCAAATACAAATTAAGGTATGAGGAATGTTATTGAGAGAGTTGTGCAACAAGTTCACTAATGTACTAGAGGCACACACACACACACGGACACACACGGACACACACAGACACACATTGACAAACACATAGAAAAACTGTCGCTTAATTATCGTTAGTTGTATTGTATCAAATTGAAGTAATTAATGTATCTATTGAAGATAAATTATAATTAATTATACATTTATATGATTTATTTAATTTAAGCGACAGTTATGTCGATAGTATTGCAACACAAAATGTATGGCAATATGACAAGCAGCTAAATAAAGAGAGAGAGAGTGAGTGAAAGATGAGAGACACAGTTGTACTCTTGCAGAGAGAGAAAGAGAGAGAGAGAGCGAGAGCGAGACATAGACAGGTAGCGAGTTTGAGGAGTGTTTTCAACAAGTATTCAAAAAAAAAAAGAAAAAGAGTTGCCATTGCAATTTACGATTTTATTTCAATATTTATTCTTTAATTGTCAGTTTATTTGTATTTGTTTGCAATTTAAATTTAATAATCTTGTTGCTTAATACAAAATTTAACTAAAGAAATAGTCGCAGTACATACAAAGGGAAGATATAGAATAAAGGTAAAAGTAATAATGATGAAGCAAACTAAATCGATCAAAAGAAGTTTTACGTACTATATATGTGTATTTATGTATTATAATTAACAAAATTGTTTTATTTGTTGTAAATAATTTTTATTTATATTTATTAAAATTAATTATTACAAATATGCATTTAAAATTCAAAATGTAATGAATGCACACACAAAAATTAAAAAAAAAATCAATTACATTAAATTAAAAGGATTTGGATTCATTTTTGAGTTCTTGTTGTCTTATGGATTTTGTTTTTCTTTTTTTTTAATTATTATTTTTTTTATTTAATATTTAATAATTAAGTAAATGCTTATGGATTGTAGTTTAAAAAATAAGAAAAAAAAATTGACAGCGAAGTTCTCTCTTTTAAGAACGCACACATACTACTAATTAAAACGAATACAGTACTAAAACGGTATACAAAAGAGAGCACACAAAAGATAAACTGGGAGAGAATGAGCGGTATATAAAAGAGAGAAACGGAGTACAAAGCACAGAGCACAGATCACAAAACGAACAAAGGACAATCGATTTTTTTTTCTCGATTCTGTGATGTTATCTGTTGATGTGTGTGTGATGTCATGTATGTGTATGTGTGTATGTGTGTGAGCGGGACAACACCTGTGCTGTGTGTTGCATAAAAAACTATGAGAAAATTTAACCCAAGAAGTTTTTTTTTTTTGTCAATTTTATAATGCTTCTCAATGCATTTTTGCTTAGCTCAGTGTGTGGAGTACAAAAGAAAAAGCAGTGTTTGAAAAACACTTGTAAAATTGCCCCATTTCAAGCTGATTTATTGAGATTTATTTTGCTTTTGGAATGTAAATTGATTTAAAAATTTGAACTAATTGCGCGTGTTTGGTTCTTAGGGACTTAAAATGGAGTAAGATAGGGTGTATATTAGATGTTAGCTTTAACGTAACGCACAAAAGCATGCAAAAGAAATTTTTAAATTTTTTAAAAATATGTAACTGGATTTTTAATTCAAGAATTAGACAGAAAACAAAACTGGGATACATTTTGTAAGGAATAGTTATAATAAAAAAAAATATTTATACATTTATTGCATATATATGTATATACATATGTAGTAGTTATATAGCACACACACAGATAAAATAGCAGAAAAAGAGAATCAAATAGAGCACACTGAGGTAAAAACAAAAGATGAATTGGAAACGCAAAAAAAAAGAAAATAAAAACACTACAAAAATGTATGCAAAAGTTATTGTACTCGCTATTTGTATAACGCATATTGTGGTATAAATATATATGATATATATTAGATATACGTTAAATAGAGCGTTCAAAAATAGGTTTATATATTGATATATATATACATATATCTATATATATATATATATATATATATATATAGAGATATATAGTATGCATGTATTTCAAGAATTTTGTGTAAGTATTTTTGCTGATCTTGTAGTTAAATATTTAAAAAAAAGACTGCTATTGATAGGGCTACTGATATCGATATCGATTTCAAATGACTTTAAGGCTATTTTAGATATTCGTTTTCCGATATTCGATATTCAATTACATATAATGCAATGATCATGATCAAAAGTAATTCGAAACAAATTGATTAGCCAATCGAATTTGTAATCGATTTGCTTCGCTTTACACTAACATTGAGGTTAGAACACTAAGTAAAGTAATGCTGATTGTTGTGGCCAGCGCAATGATTGTTGTTGTGGTTGCTGTTGTTGATGTTGTTGCTGTTCTTGTTGTTGTGATTGTGAGTTGTTTGTGTAGCGAACCGACGCCGGAATTGAAGCCGGCCGAATAGAGCAATGTGCCCAGATTGTTATTAGCTGAATCGGACTCACCTCGTGTCGTCTTCATTATAATCGATGCCGGCGACGAATACCCAATGGCATTGTGCGCCTTCAGCTCGATGCGATAATACGTATTGCCACTCAGATCGATCATCTGATACGATGTTGTCTCCACAACCTCAATCGTTTTGCAGCGATCCTCCAATTCGTGCCAGGTACCAGCCATTTTGACGCCCTATTCAAATACAAAATATAATTGATATCAATATGATTCTATTGATGATACGATAATAGACTAATTTTTGTAATTTGTAATATCTGTATACGTATGTACATTGGTATATCAATTGTATATCGGCATTCTAACTATCGGTTGGACAACAAACTTGAAGGATAATTAGCAGAGTACAGCAGAGCTGATTCTCAACTAGAGCACTCCCATAGAGTTACTTACCGGACAGTATTTGACCTGGTAGCGATCGATGGGCTCGCCATTATCAGCAGGCACTCCCCAGCGCAACTCAAAGTGATCCGAATAGGGTGAGACAACGACGGGTTCCTCCTTATCATTCTGGACGGGGCTGTGCAGTGGCTTCGGTTCCTCGGGGGCGGAACGGCGGGGTGTCGACTGCTGCTGATTGACGCCCCAATTGCCAAGACCGACTTGATTGCGTGCCGCAAAACGGAAGCTGTACATAGTCTGCGGACGCAGACCCTCGACAATGTATGGCGAGTCTGGTGACCAGCTGCGATTCAGTGCCGTCGACCAGTCTGGATTGAGGGCCTCCTTGTACTGTACACTGAATGCGAGTATTGGTAAGCCGAGTTCAGTGGCTGGTCCCCGTATGTCGAATGTTATGGTTGTGGCCGTCAGCTGGCGCGGCACAGCGGCTGAGACAAAGTCCGGTACGCGGGCCTCCTTCAGTTGCATATCATGTTCGGCAGTGCCGTGGATATTCGTCGCAATGCACTTGTAGGCGGAATAGTATTGTCGGGTGACGGGATGGACGATGAGGTCGCTGCGTGGACCGGTGCCCTCGATTTTCAAATTGGTATCGAAGAGATCCTTGATGTTGCGTCCATTCCAGCGCCACTCGATAGTCGCATTCGGTATGCCCATGGCCAAACAGCTCAGATTCGCCTTGCGCTGCTCCCAGCTGAACACTGGCGGCAGCTCCTTCATGTGCGTGAAATCTGGGGGAAACTCGATGGCGATGTGTCCAGTCTTGTAAGCAGTGTCACCCTTATTGGTAGCGATGCACTGATACAGACCATCGTCTGTACGCTGCGAGCGGGCAATGCGTAGGGTGCCGGTACTCTCGCCACGGTCATCATCGAAATGCTGCTCGAGTTGGATGCGTTCGTCGTCCATTTGCACACCGGCCGTGTACTGCTGCTCGGTACCCCAGCGGCGGAAGGTGATCTCCGGTGCGGGACGGCCCTTGGAGCGGCATGTGATGGCAACCTCCTTGCCACTGACGCCAGTCACATTGTACAGCTCATAGACGGAGGGACGGACGAGTACGTTCAATTGGGCCTTTTTATCGGTAACGCCAGCATCATTCTTGGCAATGCAAGTGTACGTATCGTAATCCTCCTGAGTGACCGAGCTAATGGTCAACAGGCCTGTCTGTGCATTCACCTTGAAGCGATCAGCATTTGCGACATTCAGCTGGACAGAGTCCTTGATCCAGCTTATCTCCGGCACAGGTTTACCCAGCGCTGTGCAATTGGCCGCAAACGGTTTACCCTCAACAGCCTCGAGGGTGCTGGGCAAATGTGTGATCACTGGCCGGATGTACACCTCCACACGGATGATGCGCTCCAATAGTTCACCCGTCTCAATTACGGCAGCACGGCACGTGTAAGTCCCATCGTCTGTCTCAGCAACGTCACGAATGAGCAGACCATGTGTCTGCACCACGTGCTTGGCATCTGTGCGAATCTATTGGTTTGGATGGGGGCGCAGGTTGACGAAGAGAGTGGGAGTGTTAGTGCCAGTTAAGCCATGGAGTACAACAGAAATTATATTGAAATTTACTTACCGGATCACCATTGCGCAGCCAGTCGATGGTCGGATTGGGATCAGCTTTCACTTCGCACTTCACCACGTAATCATCGCCCAAAATAGGAAATTGATTCTCCGGTGCATTCGTCCAGGTAATGGCCACTGCAAAATGCGAACACAAGAAAAAAGACGAAGAAAAATAGAGAGTGAGTGTTAGTTGAAGTTGGTCCAATGTCAAACAAATTTCTGTACAAGTTGTAACGTTAGCACTTCTCTGTCTGTGCTGTGTATGTGGCGTATACGTAATATAATTTTAAACAAACTGTCACGGGCACATGAAAGCAATCCAAACAAGCGCACAAATTCCCTACAATGTGAGCGTATTTGTAAGCATCAGGATTGGCGTTCAAGTTACCCCGAATCATGACCCCAATCCAAGAACTTGCCGCAATCCATGTTATGCGCTCCAAGAGTTACTAACGAGCCGGACGGAGTCGGAGCTGGTGCCGAGGCATGCCAATAAATCTATGTTGGCGCAACAGCATCAGCAGTAGCAGCAGCAGCAGCAGCAGCAACAGCAGCACAAACAGCAACAGAAATTGAAAAAATTGCAAGCTGAAATTCCTAAATCAAATACTTGAGCGCAATCCAAACACAAACAGGCAAAGGCGAATTGTACAGGGAAGGGTGGGAGAATTGTGGAGCTCACTCGGTCAACTTGGACAGCCAGTCAGCCAGAAAATCGAAGCTGAGAGGGGCTAAAGTTAAGGCGCAAAGTAAAATATTTTACAGAACAAACTGTTTAATACATACATACAACACAATGTAACCCACATTCGGGTCTGCTTCCCAGGTGCAATTTTATTTTGCTGCAGTTTAGTGACTTTTTGCCATTATTCTACTTTAATGGCGGCTTTGTACATCATATATGAAATTGATAGATGGTGAGCAAATATATTTGTAATGACTGCAATAAATTGTGCGCTCCCAAAGCTGTGTTAAAGTATAAATAATGTTCAAATGTTGTTTTGTTGGAAATTGTACTGATTATTGAAAAATGTGTTTTTAAATTTTGATGGGTCGTAAATTTTCAAGAGGATTAAAAGTCCCCATTTTAATTGTGAATCAAATGTAAAAAATAAAGTTACATTAATAATTCAGTTTGAATTACATTTGAAGCTTAAGAACGTATTAAAATGATGACGAACAAAAAAGGTTGCCTACTTTTTTGGGCAGCAGCTTAATCGTGATGCTTTTGCGGAAAAGGTGATATGAAAAACAAGAAATGGATTGCTCTGTTGGGTTCAAATCTAACAGAAGCGTTGCCACTCATTTCCTGACTGGAAATTGTGTACAGCATCCAGCCACAGAAGTTTAAAAGAGCCACAAAAAAATAAAAAATAACTTAGTAAAATGGCTACTGCGTTTTCAGCATTTACTGAGCAGCCTTTTCAACTTGTGTGTGTGCATCTCAAATATGTACAGTTTATTTATAAATCAGTGTTATAACAAGTCATCTGTCCATCTAAGCCAGCTGTCTGTTGACTGCCAAACAAACAAACACAGACACACAGACAGACAGACAGACAAGCTATTTTAAAGTGCAGTGGGTGCCAAAAGAGGTGCCAATAGGATATTTTTGAGCCAAATTCTGATGTCTGACCAAAGCCAAAAGCAAGAAGTTGTGTGTAAGAAACATTTTCCATTTCCCAATTTTATTGATAACTCATGTATGTAAGTCTATCCTATGACCCGTCTCAGTCAAGTGAATGTGCAACATATAAAATAAATAAAAGTTTCCGTCGAATTTTCTTCAGCTGGTCTTACAGTTGGGGTCAAAAGCCAACAAAATGCAGCTCGGTATTGGTTGTTACTGTGTCGTTGCGTGTGAGATTTTGTTGTGCAAACACTTTTCGCTGACGTCTGACAACAACATCAAAATAAACACACACACACACACCAAAGAACAACAACAGCAAATATTACAAGTGACAATTTTGTTGTCAAGTGAGCTCAACTACGATATACCCTTATTGCAAGATATGCATACAGAAAATGCTTGAGCCTGCGAGATCAATCTGAGTATACAGTTTTGACTATAACTTCGTCTTCTTCCAGTTTACCAATAATATGGCAATGTATATTAAAAATCAATAAGAATCCATTGCTTTGTGGCTTTTTACTATAGATAATCGAGAAGCGGAGGCAGTTATCGATCAAATTAAGCAAACTTGTCCTGCCCGGGGTATACAAGAATCTTTATTGAAAAATTTGAGTCTCTAGCTTCCATAGTCTCAGAGATGGAGACACGGCTATATCGATTCGACTGCTGATTCTGATCAAGAATATATATATATATATATATAAAGATATATACCTTAGAGATGCTTTCTACTGGGTTTAACATACATTTGGTCAACACCATTAAACCCATTTTCAATGGGTTGAGAGTATAAAAAAAAGAGGAAAAAAGCCAAAGAGATGAACTAGTTTACGATTTCATTATTAGTTTGAACAACGGCAAGGACAGCAACGAGGACAACGTCAGGAGACACAAAAAGGACACGATGGATACAGTGGGGTGCATAAAACCCACAATCGGACAGGACAGGCAAACGTAAAGATGCCGCACACCGTCAAAACACGACTCGCAACTTATTGAATAAGTTCGTGCTGCAGCAAAAACCAAACAAAACAAAGTCGACTGAAAAAATAAGTGAAAAAACCTCCAACTGCAGCAAGTTATTAAAAATCAGGCAACAGAAATTGGATTTTGTGTGGCAATAACCTAGCTGTAGTTTGGTTAAGACTTAGGTTGCGCTTTAAGCGGGCACGCAAACTGAAAAAACGCAAAACAAATAAATAATATTTTGTATCCATATAAATTAAATATAAATCAGATATCTTCAATCGCGTCAGGACACTTCGAGCTGTACCTCAGTGATATCTGTTCGTTATTTAAAATTTAAGCCACTGATCTTAAATCAGTTGACATTCAAATTGTTCCCAAAGTAATTGGAGCAATGACAGCTGGGTCAATAAATTGCGAACAATTTGAAAAGAAGAGTTTATAGTTGAACATTCATAAAGTAAAAAAAAAGACAAGGAATGGACACGAATTGAGCTCGCAAACTCTTTGCTGAGCTATTCTTTCTATTCCAAAAAGTATAGTTGCTTTCTTTATCGAGAGTTTTAGGGGAGCGCTTTGTCCATCAGCATCGTATGCTCAGTGCTTTAGATGAGTATTATAATCAGCTTAAATGCACATCGAAATATATACAATAACAATCAGTGTAGGTTTTAATTAGTCGTATGACAACTGATTCAAACTATATGCAAAAATACAAACACTACGTTATGCAATTGCCACAAACAACAAAAACCACAACAACAAAGTGCGGGGCAAATTTTTGAGCACATTTAAATCGGCTTAGGCACTTAGGAACAACATTCAAATATTCATGCTATGAGAATGCAATTTGTTATATTCTTCCTAGTGATGCAAATCGCATACATTTGGACGGAGCGAGGACGAAGGACGAATGTTGAAAGACGAAAGAACTGATACAATTGGTATTATGAAGTGCGATTTTCCACATTTTGCTGTTGTTTGAATTCAATGGAATTAAAGGGCTTTAATATATCGTTTTCACAATGTGGCGCTCAGGTGGAGCAAGGGGCTGATACCTGCTTGTGGCATGCAGCGTGGTCCAGCAGTGTAAAACTTGAGCGCACTTTGGCAACATCGGAAGTTGCCGTTTGCAACGGAAGTTTGTTTGCAGCATATGCATTTATTAAAAGCATAAATATTGAAATATTAAGCTGTGAGTGGCACAAACAACAGCTACAGTTACATCAGTTACAGCAGCTCCATGTGTGTTTGTCATTGTGTCGGTATGTGTGTGTAAATAGTAAGGCGGCACCTACACGCTGCAAGTTGCAAGTTGCAAGTGCTCGACTTGGAAGGACACCTACACGCACTTGGGTTGTTCCTGCAATTTGCACTCCTCCCCCTGTCGTTTCTCCTTACCGTCTACCACTTGCGGCTTATTTGCTTTACTAAATGCAGCTTGTGAGTTGTCAACACACAACGACTGCAACATACACACACACACACACACACACACACACACACACACACACACACACACACACACACACACACACGCACACACACACACATTAACTAGAATTTATTCTGTTGGCGTAATTCGGATGCTTTTAAGGGCTAAGGAGCTGGTCAGCTTGCTTGTGGAGAACTACAAGTCGGTCGGTATAGTGATGAGTTTGTTGATTTATTTGTTTAAAACACAAACTTCAAATAAACAAAACAGTTTATAAGATGGCTTAAGCTTCTAATTCAAGGCAATACCGCCTTGTGTTATACTTGCTCTAAGACAAGCTTACTGTTAAAGAAATTAACAGAATGTACATAGCTTCATAGCTTAGCTAACTTTAACTTTAATTAATTAATTAATTTTTGCCGAATGAATACTATAGCTTAGCTGAACATCTGCAGCTTAAAAACATAGCTTCTAAAACATTAAATATCTACAACTGCAAGAAAATAATTATGGTATTTACCAACACTGATTAGGTGAAAAAATAAAATTTTAGATATATTTTCTTAACCAACACTGCTTGCCAATCATTTTGCCACAGTTAAAGAACAAAGAATCTGTTTGCTGTGGTTAAACCATTACAAGACCTATCCAAGAGACTCGAATCATTATCAAGAACGCATTTTAACACTGCAAACTGCACTTATTATTTTGTTTGACACTGCTAAACACTAAGCAGCTCGGACTAGCGACCCCATTTTAAAAACTAAAAGCACACATACGACTGAAAGTCAGTTTTGTACCAAAATATTTGATTTTATTGAACGGTTTGGCTCAAACGTACTGCAATTCAATTCTGGACAAACGTAACGCTTTGGGGTATCTATCTTCGCATAACCCCTGCCCTGTAAATTCCTCACATGTCGCACTATGATTGGAGTGAGTCTGTTTGAGTAACAGACGTGTGTGTTTTCATGTACATAGTGTAGAGCTAGGCTAGAGAGGACTCTCGGCTGGCGTCCGCTATAAGTTGCCACGCCACGTTGACGACTGGGTCGTTTCGGGCTCGTTGGTTGGTGTGCACTTTAAATTGCTTAGAAAAATCAATCCAGATTTCGCATTTAGAGCGAGAGCACGAAAGAGCTGCTCCAGCGCCACTTGTGACCTTCTCTGAAGCTTCACATCACACACAGCATACTGTACTGTACGTGTTTGAGTGTGTGCCAGTGCATCTGTGTGTTAGTGTGTGTGTGATACTTGTTGTGCTTGATATTGCTGGTTTTCTGGTTTGTGCTGCTTATTGGCAACGTCTTTGTTTGGACTGCCATTCATATTATTTCATGCCATTTCTTTTATGCTTTCACAATGCTTCAAAATATAATGAGCCATTGCACAAAACGACAAAAAGCTGTTTGCTTTTGTTAGCTGCAATGCTCAGTGGGCAACAAAATAAATCCATATTAGAAATGATTAAAAATGTGCTTGAGAGCAAGCCATTGAATGTGTTTTTCAAAATTATAGTATTTCTATTTGGTAAGATATTCAATTGATTGAGTAATTGAAAGGCATTTCTCATTCATTCATTATTCTTGAATAGTATTGTAATTATTATTTTAAGGCCCAGTTGTTTTATCATTTCAAAAGTTAACATCATTTCGACATTTAACACCATTAAGTCAATGGAATTTTGATTATAGCTGAGTACCACGAGTTTAGTTGCCATAAATCAACTGTTCAACTTTCCGTATAATTTCGAGAGTGCCTTAGGGCGATGCCCAAACTTTGAGTGGGTCAAATGTTAAGGATGCTAGGGGCGAGCTGTGGGTAGAGGTGTGCTGTTAAAGTGAATTGACTTACCGTAAGTTTTAATTGTGACGCTCGTCTGGAGTATTTCCGTATTTGCATATGAAGCCGTACAATAATATTGGCCACCCATTTCCGGCAAGAGCGAAGTAATCATCACACCCAAACTTTCACCGGGCAATGTCTCCGTATACATGGGTGGATGGTTGCGTCCCGTCCTGCGAGAGGTAGACAAAGAGAGGGGATGTGGGTACGTATGGAAAGAGAGAGAGAGAGAGAGACAGATATAGAGACACAGATACAGATATAGAGACACAGATAGAGAGAGAGAGCGAGAGAGAGAGATGAAAAGAAATTATTTCGTATTTATAGTCGAGGGGTATAATATGAACATTTTGTTTGTTGTATATAATGTTTATGATTATGATTATAATAATTGTTATGAGCATTGTCGTTGTTAGTAGATTGTTTTTGTAGCTGTTGTTTTTTGCTACTCTGCTGTTTTTTCGCTTGTATTTTATTTTTGCATTTCTTTCGCTTATGCTCTCATTTGCATGCCACGCATTTCATTTGCAAGCATCTTCCATTTTTTTTTTTTTTTGTCATAACAATTACAGAAAATTAAAAGAAAATTGCGTTTCGGGGAGTGGTGTTAATGTGCTGTTCGGCTTTAGCAGTACTTATTTTTGTACTCTTTTGGGCTAAGTAACACCAATGTTTTTTGAAAGGAGAGACTTGTTCAATTGCTTGGAATTTATGGTAGTCCTTATGTTTATGTAAAAGTTGAATTTGTAATCACAAAATTCTGTCAACTATAAAATAAAATAATTGCACAATTAAGTTACATTTTTTTCTTATGCTAGAAACCCTAATTGTTGCTGACAACACTAGCAAGATATGGCAAAGGAAACACATTTTCATATGAAACTTGACAGATCCAGTTATCTTTATATCGATTGGTGTTTATATACAAGTTTAAACAATTAATTTTGATCACAAATAAGTTAAACGGTTTAAATGAGATACTGGTTACCTAGAAGTCCCAAGATAAACTAAATAAAAGAGATCATATAAATTCAATTGTATATGCGGACTGGGTACGCTTGTATATATTTCGAAAAGTGCTGCAACTCTGCACTCTACTGCACAACTCTGTCAAATGATTTGCTTAACTTTATCAATTTAACTGGCATTTGTTTTTTAATTGAGCAGACAAACACGATATCAACAATTTCGCATCAAATAATTGCACAACATTTGCAAATAATGTCGCTGACCAGATGCCTGGCAACTCTGATTCTGCCGCAAATAAACAAGTTGGCATTTCGCACACGCGCAGGCGTCACGCATTAACAACTTTTCGCCGGCTGCTGCGTCACTTACTTTGTTTGCCAATTGGCATTTGGCATGAAATAACCACAAAAAAAAGTCCGTAAAATTCAAAAATAAAAACCGTCACAACTCGCATATAACTATTTCCTACTGTTGGATTAGGGCGATGGGGTGGTCGGCGGAGGGTGAGGGACACGTACTAATTAATTAAAAAACTTTTGTTGCGCTAAACTAAATATGCATAGCGGTTATTATTATGGCTGCACTTTTGCAAACCCAACTACCAAGCCCAAACTAAAACCCAATTCCAATCCTTAAATAAAAACATTAAAATAAAAAAAAAAATCAGAAACTTTTGGAGCCAAACGTAGTTTTGTGCAAAAGTTTTGCGAAACGGATCCAGTTACGGGCCATAGGCAAATAGCAGCGAGTAACTAACTAACTAGTAATGGGTAACGAGTGGAGATTTTTGAGCAATAAACGAGCAGTGGTTATAATCGCTATCCTTATGGTATTTGAATTTGATAATAACATAATAATTATAATCGATAATCATGTTTGCAAATTCAAAACTTATTCTATGGTTCAAATCATGACTTAAGCCGCCGTCCTTGTGGAAATTGGTTGTTTTCACAGAGAATGAAAAGTGTATGGTAGACATGGGAGGGTGGCTTGAGTAACTTTCCGAGTAACTTAACTTTGGCTCAACTGTTTTTCAAGAATAACTTTTATTCTTACTGCTGAAATTGGTTTTATATATATATATATATATATATGTGTATGTGCATATTTTGTGTGTTTGGGATTGAGCACAACCTGCGTTCGATTTGCTAGCAAAATGCAAAAACCACTCGCTTTACATACAAAATTGTGCACATACAGATATGTTTGCCTAGCACACACTCAAACAATCACACACACACACACACAGATAAAAGGCTCTATGGCCATTCAAAAATTATGCTAGAAAGAGCCTTCAGCAAAAATGCACAAAAAAAAATGTAAGAAAATAAAATTTGTGAAGGAAAATAAGTAAGAACGCGTAAGAGTGCTCCAGTCGAGAGAGCTCGACTGCGAGATACCTTGATAGATAGCCCTATTATAGACATTACCCATTATAAATCACAAAATGACTACATTGATTCGCCTTTTGATGCTGATCAGGAATACATATACATATATATAATTAATTTATGGTGCTTACTTTTCTCTGTTGTATACCTTTCGAACTTCATTATACCCTTGACTATTTTCAATGATTTTAGGGTATAAAAATGGCGGAAAACAAAATGGCAACAGCAACGCATAGCGGAAGACATTGGGGGAAAAATGTTCCGAAATATTTGCGTTGGATTTTTAATATTGCGCCAAACGAGAAAAACTGAAGCAGACGGAGTCGTCGAAAGTGGAGTGAAGAGGGGGTAAGACAAACAAACAGTAGCCAAAAAAAAAAAGAGTCACGCATATACGGAAAAATCAAATTTTTTGATTGTCTCTGTTGGGGTTTGATCAGCGCATTGAGGGATGGTCTATGACGGTTGGGGAATTTGTGGCAACCGCCATTCTGGCGCTTAGGGGCGACAATTTTTTATTGCATTTCCTTGGCTTAGATGCAAATAAAGATGTCGTTATTGTTATTCCCATTCCCCCCTTTCCTCGTTTCTGCCGATGTTATTGCACACACAATGAGTCAAAACAATGTGGTTAAGGGTAGGAGGGAGAGGAAGCATCGCTTGCCAAGTTGTTGCACTCCTATAAGTCCTCTAAGTCATATGTTCAAGTCAAGTGCTGCAATTTGGTATAAGCAGTCCGCCGCCTTAGCGGGCAAACATACGCAAGGATGCCATAAAGAGATTGTCTATGGAATAGAGAGGCAGCGAAAGACAAAGAGTAATTAACAGCACTTAAAGACCGCACAAGGACTAATGAGAATGGAAGGAAAAGCTGAACAATAGAAGAAGAATAGCACTAGCTGAGTGAAGTTAAGACAGACAGTTAGCAGTTAACTTCTGCAACTTAGTACTAACTTGATGATGCTCTTTGAATGCACATTTATGGGCAATGGTCTTAACAATTCAATAGTAATATGGCAATTTGGCAAACTGACCCAAGTTAAGAGGAGTCGCGTTGCCAAAACGCATAAAAACTCATATACAGAGAACTATTCCGAACTTAATCCCTTTAATTAACTCGAGACTGGACGATTGCAAAACTCGACAATTTCCCAGTGGTAAGGGAGGATCGGCGCAAGGGGTGTCTCGAACTTGCCCGGGGTGCAAATAGGCCTAAGCTGGAGCCTCGATTTGTTTTCTGTTTTTTGGAGTGTCGGTGTTGACTTTTGTGGGCTATTTGGCTTGTGTGTGTGACTGTGTGTTGTGTTTGGGGCAGCTTAATTACATTTGGCTTTTGCAAGAATGCAACTCGGCTTGTCGAAAACTTAATTTCGGCAATAGTTGTGTGCGGATGTGGCACCGCCCCTCCCACCCCTTCCCACACATACAAAGAGAGCTGCCTGAGTTTGCTTTGCTGCTTCTTTTTTTTTGGTACAGCTTCATTTTCGGGGTTGGCCAAATTCAATGTGGAGCCCACTCACTGTAGTCCAATTCAGCTCAGTTCGGTTGAGATGACTTCAGTTTCGTTGATGCGTGCGCCTAAAATGTGGCAATTCGAAACGATGCTCGAGCAAATTGAAAAGTTGCCAAGCTCAATAATAATTGTCAATGTGTCCGAATGGGTGCGAGTGTGTTTGTTTTCGATTCATTCCTTTTTTTTTTTTGTCAGCCCCGAGGTCAAAAATACAAATGTTAAATTTTGTAGCATAGTCCAAATAGAGCTCGTACACTGTGCCAAGTTTGTGCAAAGGGATTTTGGCTTAAAGAATTTACCCCACAATGAGGTACTGTAAGCAAAAACCAGCGAACGAAAAGTTTCCTAAGCATTTGTTGCTGTTTGAAATATCAGTTTGAGATATTCAAATAGGTTCAAGGGCAACATTGGTGATATATAAAGAAAAACACGCAACATTTGTCACTTTCGCCAAAACTAATATGATGTTCATAAGAAATACATTTCTAACCAGATTTATAATTATGTAACAAGAGACTAAACTCAGACAAGTTGCAATTTCAGGTAACGCTCTATAAAAAGCAATCCAAATTTAGATAATTTTAGCATTTACAAGTCTGTCTGCAGAGCATTGCTTATTTCCTGGCGCTGGGCATATAAACTTTAATGTGCCAATTCCCTGTTAATTGGCACGCAATAGTAAAAGCTGTCCAGTGTATATAAGAAAAATCAACAGCCAAAAGAAAAAGATAAATAAAGAGAAAGAGAGAGAGAGAGAAGGGCGAATGAAAGGCACTGGTCCCAGGTGACAAAAGTGGAAAATTCTCCTTTGGCCACGTTTCGACTGGGCTGCACTTTAAAATTCTGACTCTGTTTCACTATTTTCTCTTCTTACAACATTGTTGCACCTCTTTACGCAAATTAATTAACACGCTTTTCCTGCCCGAGTGCTTGAAAGTGTCGACAACATTTTTTGATTTTGATTTAAGCAATGGGGAAATCTTTCAACTGTTTTTTCTTTTCCATTTTGTTATTTTTTTTGCGTTTCTTTTTTTAATTATGGTATTTTCACTGATTGCAATTTTTTGTAGCGACTTTGACTGTATGGAAATCAGTTAACTTTAGTCCAAGTTTGTAAAATATGCAATTTTTTTATTTGGAATTTTTAGATCAACTGAATAAAGCGATCCGAAAGAAACGATGGCAATTGGCATTTTAAGTTGGCATCGCCTATCTTCAATTGAGTTGACTACAATCAAGTTGGTGTCGACGGAGCATACCTCATAAGCAAATTAAGTTGGCTGCATCTGAGAATATATTCTCTCAATTCTCAACTAAATTCTGATTCGAATATTTAAAACCAAGCTATATACTAAGAAAGATCAACATAAATTACTGTATTAATTTGCTGGATGATAATTGTATACTTTCATGCTTACAACTAACATTCAATTAATGACTGCGCACTAGCTAGATACGAGAATAGTAGAGAATGCTCGAATGGTATGTGAAACACTAACTGTCGATGGAGTTGGTTAGTATACAACAGCTAAAGATTTAATTGATACGATTATGTATGTGAGAGTATGAGAGCAGCTATTGGAATGAGTTCAATTCGCATGATATCAGATACAATGTGTGTACGAGTATGGGAATTTTGATGGGGTTGTGTTTGTGTTTGTGTTTGAATGTGTACGTTAGAGTCTCTATTAATGAGGCGTTTGCCGATCAGTCAATATAACGAAATAATAATACAACACAAAATAGTTAACAACAAACAATGAAACATGCCGGCAAACAAAACAACAGAGCTTTTAGAGGAAGTCGGGAGGCGTGGCGTGGCGAGGCGAGACGAGGCGAGGCTTTACGGGTGGGCTGCGGGCACGTGCTCGTAATTCAAAGGAATTTTACGAATAGAAATACGAATACGACTCTATTACGAATACGAATAGGTATTGTTGCTGTTGCTGTTATTTGAACTACGCAAACGTAACGAATTTTTAGTTGTTGTTGCTTTTGTTGTTGTTGTCGGCACTTACACATTTTTTTTATTCCCCTTGGAATCATAGAGTGGATCATAATTAGTCCTACAGAAGAATAATAGTTCAAGTGATTGAAAGTGTATTTTGTGTTTTTTTTTTTTTTGGTTTAATTTTGGGTATACATCATTATGAAAAGTAATTAACAAATTTATTAATGATAAATACACACAGAAACATATATTTTTCGGTATGTATATGCATATATATATATATATGTATATATTTATATATATATATATATTGACAGATGTGTGATAGGCTACATAAAAATATATAATTGCTTGTATAGTGAATATTAGCAATTAATGCACACTTACGGTTTGGGTAAAATAGTATTGTTCATGTTATCCTTCCATTGCAGATCGGTAACGAGCGCCTGATCCGGCACAGTGGGGCGACAGGTCAAAATCAGGGGTTTGCCGACAGGTTTACGTTGCACTTCCTGCGTCGGATAAATCTCTAGCTTGGGCTGCTGCTGAGCGCTGCTTAACTCTGTAATTACACAGAAAAGACAGAAAATAGATGATGAGAAACTGTAAACAACTGCATATATATAAAATAGAGAACGGGTGACTTTACAAACAGCAGATAATCTTCTAGTCGAGCACTCCCGACTTTGTTATTCTACTCATTTTAAATGAGCGTTTTATTTTTCAATATTATTCTCTTCCATTTTTTTAATTGTGTGTGTGTGTGTGTGTGTGTGTGTGTGTTTTGGGTGAGTAATTCAAATTTAAATTAATTTTAATTGCCAGTTGCGCACAAGAGCTAAAAAAAAGACGAGTTGCGGCATATGTGTGTGCCTGTGCGGACAGTGGGCGTGGTAAGCGCAATTTTGCGTATCTGCAAGCAGACAGTGCGTTATATATATATATATAGACATACATATTAAATTATTAATTTAAGCAAGCCTTTTTAGACTGAAATTAAAAAACAACTCTTCTGTTATTCATATAGAGAATTTATATAACGCATCAGTGTTTATAATCCCGAAATGAATATTGATTTATCAAAGCGATGAAAAGTTGAATTCAATTTATTATTTAAATTATTTGAATTACATTTTACAATCCAATCAAAATATTTATGAAATTCACAAATTTCAGCATTTCTTTATCATTTGCTTTTTTTTACTATTTGAGAGTTTGTCTGGCGGGTCATAAAAAATCTATATTAAATGAACTTAAACACAACAATATAAAAATGAGTCAACCAGTTGGAGCAACTTTTTGAAAAGGGCAAATCATTAGCTGCGGTTTTCTGTGGGGGCGGGAGGAGAGTGTTTTTGGCAAGCAGCAGCAGTCTGTAATCCATGGTAAGTTGCAGTTGCAGCAACAACTAAAAGTTGTGTGCACAGTGAGTGCTAGAAAAAACTTGTCCATTGTTCTCTTAAGCATTCGGCTAATTGCGGTCAATTAAACGCTTGAGCAGCGCTTTGTGCTCGGCTCTCTGTTCAGAGACAAAGAGTTTAAGTTCACAACTTTAAAAAGCGTCAAGTTCTTTACAGCTGCTGTTTTGTTGTTCTTGTTCTTGTTCTTGTTGCTGTTGTCGCTTTTCATTATCATTTTAAGTTTCATGAGCAATATAATTAAATGTCTTGGCTATTTGTTTGACACTTTATTGGAGCAAGCCCCTCCATCGTCGCCTCCATAACCAAAGAGAGCTAAGGTCATCTGATTAAGCTACAGTCAAGAAGCTGCCTTTGTTGTCAGGTGGCGCTGGAAGGGTCGTTAGAGTGGGCGGGGGTGGGTTAAATAGTCTGAGCGTAGCCATCGGTTAATGTGCGGCACTTAAGTACGAAATTTATGTACAACGGTCAGTGGCAAAAGGGGTTAAGGGAGTTGGGGATTGTCTGCCCATCTGGCTGGGCTAAGCAGCAGTTAATGCGGTGGGCACGAGACGATGGCACAGCACTCATCTAACAACTTTATAGCTACTGCTCTTCCTCCTCGTTTCTGTCTGCACAGGTCCTGTCTTCCATCCGTCCACCCATTGAATTTCTCAAGCAACATTTGTTCCATAACCAAAAAATAAAAAATACATTGAATAATGTGGAAAAATGCATGCAAAAAGTGAAGAGAAATGAAAACACGGAACTGATTCTCAGTGCTTACTCGAGTGCATTATTCATTTAATGTAAATGAGTGCACAACACTCGAAACACTCACACCTACGCCCACGCATGCACTACTTTGATACGCATTTTTCTACTGCTTCATTTTGTATTATTTTTTTGATTGTGTACCCCTTTGTACAGGGTATTATAAGCACTTCTGACCCAAATCTGCACTAGACGAAATTAATGGGTCCATTCATCAGAGTTCCCAACTCCGGATAGAAAATATATCGAGGTCATACTATGTTTGTTCTGCAGTGCACTTCTTAAATATAATCTAGCAAAATCGGATTACTATATCATAAAACAAATCTGATTTCTCCCCTTGTAAAGCAATCACATAAATTAGCTATTCTATAATACAATTTCTCATTATTTGAAAGGACATTCTTCACACGATGTATGCTTGTTGCGCCTTCTACTCCAATCTCTCTATATGCTATATAGCTTTCTCTTTGGACGTATGCAATAGTGTATTCACAGCTTCGACTTGCTGACCCGTATATTAGTTACTTGTGCTCGTTGTTATTTATACATATACTTAATATGCTTTTCAAGTTTTTTATGCTTTTTGTGTGGGGCTTTTCTGTTTTGTTTTTCTTTGGTTTTTTCGTTTTGCGGGCCTGCATGAATAAATTGTGGTCTATGGCATTAAACTGCACGCTGTATGCCAAAAAGCAGCACCAAGTGCCTCGCAAAATTAAATATGAGAAATTTATATGCAACGCTGCCACTCTCTCCTTTCCATGCCATTAATGCATCCAAAAGGCAACAACAACAATAAGATGGCTACTGGGGTCATTCTTCAATTGCATAACGTGAGTTGAATGCTCTAACTGCAATCGCAAGAGAATTAAGTATGAATCTAACAAATAGACTTCTTTTATTTGCTATACCTGAACTAAATGAATTAAAAAATCGTTTGAAATGGAGAAATATAAGCCTTAAATTTGGGAATTTTTCAAATAAATCTATTCTTCTGTTTTAAATTATTTATTTGAATCACATCTGATAAACTCAATGCAATTTCCAGCTAAACAGTGTGTGGCGGCTAACTAAACAGTTAAATGGTGCTTGGATGAGTGGGTTGCATACCCCAGAATAACTTGACTCTGCACTTAGCTAATGTGCTTCGAGCCAGTGTTGGCAAGTGCCCAAGTTTGCGGTGCAGTGCCTTCAAACCCTCGCAACGGCGACGGCTGTGTTGCACCGGGCGTATGCTTAATTTATATTTATTTTATTTTAAATGCATGCTGTATAAATAAAAAATAAAGGCATACCAACAAACCAACACACACGCACACGCACACACACACCCATAGAGCCATAGATAAAGTTCGCGTCACTGTGTTGGTGGTGTGGAGGTGTGGGTGGTTTTTCCGGGTGCCGAATAAATAAACAAGCGGTTAAGAATTATCGCATGCAGACGCTGACGATATGGAAGCTGCGCGAGAGGAAGCGAGCAGAAAAGAGGGCCATATGGCGTTTCCTTTTGCCCTCCCTTTTGGACATTAAAATGGAATTGGGACGCAGGCTCAGAAATGATTGTTGAAAAACAATTAACAATTGCACATTAAAAAGGACATCAAAGTTTAAAAAAATATCAAAAGGGCCAAATTAACGCATATATACACACACATACACACACTCACAAAAGTACAGTGACTTTAAATTTCAAGTGGTGAACAATATTGAGCAGTTTTTTTTTGGTTTTTTAATTTTTTATAGCCGTTAAAAGTTAACATTAATAATTTTGTTTGTGCCAACAAGTTTGTGGTGTGGCAAACATAACAGAAGAAAAAATATGTGGATTTATGTCATTTTGCAAAACACCCTCCTCCCCTACCCATCGCCAGCAACTGTGCTTGTCCAGTGCACCCAAAGTTAGTTTTGAATTATGGCACAAAAATGGGTAACCAAAAAATGCGTAAAAAGCGTCGAGCAAATACTTTTTCAGCCCCAAATTGGGCTGGCAGGCTGCTAACATTAACCCGCAAACCACCCAGCCCCAAGCACAACCTCTAACGACCACCACCAAACAATAGTTTTTTGAGGACAAGACGTGCTCAAGTGCCTGCCACGCCTATTTAATGGGGCGGAGGCGGGAAGAGGGGGGGGGGAGCATTTTGCGAGGTGGCATTCTAAAAATATTGCCCTTTAAATTTAGGCCCTGCCCTGCCCTGCCCTGCCTCCCCCTCAACATTACGGGGCCACGCAGATCAAACGGTTGCCAGATTGTTGTCTCCAGTGCCAAGTGCCGATCAAGAACTACATATTTGCTAAAAAATGTAGTTCGCCTTGCTGTTGCTTCAAGGGCTATAACGTAAACCTCCCACAACCACCCCGACCCCCTTGGCGGTGGGCGGCTTCTAAGTTTGATGCATATATTGGTAATAAACATTAGATGGCGCCGTCAAGTATGCTGTAAGAACATGTTTGGCATATTTGATGGCATACTTTTAGGCATGCATGCGTGAGCCTAGACCCTCTCGCCGCGTCCGCACATAAAATGCGAGCTTGGGGTAGGGGTTGGGGGCTGCTTTGCTTGCCAGTCACATGTGCAACACAATCTGCTCGAAAATTTCAAGTTTTATTTGCACTCGCTACAACGATGAAAGTCGCCTCGTTTTCTTTTTTTTCTTTTGTATTCAAACATGTTGCATACTTTTCTGCACGCGCCTCCCCTCCCCGTCCACCCCGCTCCTGACGGCAACTGAAGCACAGGCACCTCAAGTGGTCGCCCACGTCGCGATTTTCATTCATTTGTCTGTCTGTCGCATGCCCTTTGAATTCACAAATATGCCAAACACACACACATACACACACACACACACAAAGACACACACACACACAAAGACACACACACACACAAAGACACACACACACACAAAGACACACACACACATCCATTATACACACCCGTATCACACAGCAGACGCGCTCAACGACGCTTGCCATTGACAGTTTTGTTGCATCCCCTGTTAGATACGCTCAATGGGCTGTGATGGACTTGTAGGTTGACTAGTAACTGGATTTCTTACTAATCTTAATCAACATAAACAATTGCACATTCTAAAAGTCTCAACAAATTCATTAATGCAATGGAAATCTATTTTTAAAATAACTTTTTGCAGCAATTTGTGTTATGATTTTCAAGCAACACATTCACAAAAGTGCAAGCACAGAGTATAATTGAGTCGTAAACTCCCCTTTTAAGGTGCTTTGTTTTTTATGTAATTTCACTTGAAAATTTCATGAACGTTGCCGTTGCTGCTGCCACTAGGAGACGATTCTTGCTGGGGTAGTAATGGGTAATGGCAGGCTTGGAAAGGGGTAGAAGATATGGTGATGGGGATTGGGAGGAGTGGCAACACCC